GGGCCTGGTGCCTCTGGGACCGATCTGTGCCTGGGGGCGCCGGGCCGAGCAGCCTCCACAGCCTGATCGGGCTTTCCCGGGCGGCGGTCCTTTGTGGGGTGCGGGTGCTGCCCCGGTGGGTCAGTCCTCCTCCAGGATAAACATGCAGACCTGCAGGAAGCTGATGCGGCTTGAGGTCTGGTATTGTCACAGCTCACCTACATCGGGTCTGGGCGTAACTTGTGCACTTTCAGAAAAGAAAGCAGCCTGCAACAGCTCTCGGAGCTTTGTAGGGCCTACTGGTCAGATACTGTACAGATTGCAGTAAAAAAAGGCAAAAACACCCTAGCGTTGCGTCTGTATTCTTATGATCTTACAGTTTCATGAGCATATTCATGTTATTACTGGGGGTATGTAGATGCAGCTTCTCTTGAGTCTTATGGGCATGGAATGATGCTGGTAGTGCAAGGTTATAAAGGTGGTGGCCACACTCGGTTCACTGTTCTTCAGCTTCCTTCGGTGCTGGAGAGTTGAGCCAATGCTGTGTTAAGGGTCAGATGTAACAAAGAAATCTAAGGGCCGTAAACAGCTTTCAATAATTTGTGCCTGTGGTATGTAGTCCTCGTATGTTATTGTGAAGATCTGAGAACACTGCCTTTTTTTTTGGTGAAACTTCTTGGAAACCTTGTTGCAGAAGACTTTGAAGATCTTGGCTGTGCCCAGAGCTGGGTGTGTTTGCTATGGAAGCTGAAATTACTTTTAGGACCTCTGCCTGTTGTACGGGAGCTGTGGCATCGAATGTCTTGCTCTTCAGAGCTCTAGTGCGACATGATAGCTGGACTGGTCCTTTGCATGGGGTTGGCCAGTCTGGTGCATCTTTTGAACTGAAAGAGGAGAGATTTGGATCAGATATTAGGAAGAAGTTCTTTGCTACAAGGGTAGTGAGACCCTGGCACAGGCTGCCCAGAGCAACTGCGGCTGCCCCCTCCCTGGCAGGGCTCAAGGCCAGGCTGGATGGGGCTGGGAGCGACCTGCTCTGGTGCGAAGTGTCCCTGCCCATGGCAGGGGGTTGGGACTGGATGGTCTTTAAGGTCTTTTCCAGCCCAAACCGTTCTGTGATCTTTAGAGACAGCATATCTGGGTTTTACTTGGTTTATAGTGGTCTGTTAACAAGCAGGAATTAGTGACTATCTGTCAGTTTTATTTTGGTGACGTTTCTGTGCATCCTCAATACCCGTTTGCTAAGGGCTTAATCTCTGTTCGTAGAATCACAGAATGGTTTAGGTTGGATGGGCAGGGACACCTCCCACCAGAGCAGGTCGCTCCCAGCCCCATCCAGCCTGGCCTTGAGCCCTGCCAGGGAGGGGGCAGCCGCAGCTGCTCTGGGCAGCCTGTGCCAGGGTCTCACCGCCCTCACAGGGAAGAACTTCTTAACCCAGTATGTCCCCGTGATCGCTTCAGGCTACCACAGAGTCGCCGTACTGCAAATGTTTGTAGTGTGGGGGAGGGTATTCAGTTTAAAAATAAACCTATGGAAAAGCTTAGGTTTTTATTGGACTTGATTGTTCTCTGAAAGTTGTGTGAGCTCAAGGAGGACAGACTTCAGAGGGCCTTAAAGCAGAGCTAGTTTGTGTTGGTTCAGATATCTGTGATACTGTACTTGTGATGCCGTGGGATCGTTGTAACTTCCTTCAGAGTGGGAGTTCAGAAAAGATCCTGGTGGTGCCACGTTTGCTCCACAGGATGAAAAGCTGAATGGAAGGAATGTAAATATTTGAAAGATACTAGATCATGGAGCGTGTTCGTGTTTTACTGAATTTAGGCTTTCCTATACATGGGCTTCCCAATGCTGCTATGAGTCGTGCCCATTATTGCCCTTTTGTAATGACTGGACTTTGACTGTGAAAGACTTGTCGTTCTTTTGCTGAGAAATGCAGGTTTGCTTTTGTCAGCTCATGGTAGAAGCTGACCTGTGAGGTGTTGGAGGTACACTTTCTTTTTCTTTTTCCCATGGCTGCGTACTGTGAGAAGTGCTTTTTTCTTTTCCAATACATAGGGAAATTCAACAGCAATATACAAAGCTTTCTTACTTTGGAAAAAAGCTTGGCTTATTAAACAGTGAGACATGCATCTCTTCTATGTTATTTCTTGGGGTTGCCATGTTCCTTTAAGTTGGAAAGAGTCTTTTTAGCTGGTAATATCATTTATTTTTGTTGGAGAACAAAACAAAATATGAATGGGAGTAAAGATTTATTTTGTTAGTTAGTTTTGGTCTTGTGTTGAGCCACTAGTGTGACCATTTTGGAAGGGAGGCAAATATGATCCTCTGTACCAGGGCAAGATTTCCAGCAAACAGGAGACTATCTGTGCAAGATATGTCACTGCACAGGACGCAGGTGGGGTTTTCTCAGGAAATCTTGGTGCGGTTCTGGTCACCCATGTTTGACAGATAAATTCAAGTTGGAGCATATGGATTGGACACAGGCAATTTGTTATCCCTGAGTTTGACAGGGAGATGAAGGAAGGGAAGAAAACTAGAGAGGTTAAATGATGATACGACAAATACACATAAACCGGGCTCAGTATGAGCAGAAAGTTGCTACTATTGGACAGTTGGGTGCTGAAGAAGGTAAAAAGACGTGGAACTTGTTAAGCTATTGAAGATTTTTATAACATGGTACCTGTGATAAGACTCTGGACGAGGTAACTCAGGTTTTTTCTTGGAGCTATAAGCAATTTTGTTGCTTGTAATGTTTATTTTAGTAGTGAGGCTTACAGACATCTTCAGTGTGTTTATCCTCTGTTGTGCTTTTTACAGGTGGAGTATAGAGAGATGGATGAGAGTCTTGCAAACCTGTCAGAAGATGAGTATTACTCTGAAGAAGAGAGAAATGCTAAAGCTGAGAAAGAGAAAAAACTGCCACCACCACCTCCACCAGCTCCTGCAGAAGAAGAGAATGAAAGTGAGCCGGAGGAGCCATCTGGTGAGTAAAGAGAGACCTCCTCTGACACTACTTACCTGTTTTATTGCCAGAAATTAAGTGGGGTCAGGTGCAGCATCGTGCATCCTGTGTCTGGTTTTGATCTGATTTTGAATGGTTGTTCTGCATTGTTTTCTTTGCTGGCCCCGTATGTGGAAGGAGGGGAAAAACACAGAAGAGTGGCCTGGTAGAGATGTGAATATGCATGATATAATTCCAGACGAAGCCAGACCTCTCATACTAGATTCTGATGATCCTTATTGACTTGTCTTTGGAAGCTTACTGACTAGAATAGCCTCTTGGCACTTAGCTGCCACACCTGCTCGAGTACCGACATTCACTTATTTCTCGGAGAACAGAGGTTAGATTTACTGGGGGGGGTTGCTAGGCAGGAGAATGGATTTAATCTACAGTAATTCCTGTGGCTTTAAACTATGACTCTAATCTTAAATTCTGGTTGGATACTGTTTGCTTAAACTTCAGTGCTTTTCTGATTACCTTTGACAGAGCTGTAAACCTTCACTTTACACTGGAAAGTTTTTTGGTCATTCTTGTTCAGGAAGCACCTTTTGAAATTCCTGGTATTAGCACACCCTATCCGTTCTTTACCTCCCACCATTAGTTAGGTATGGTGTTGGTTTATCGCTATCTGCAAAATTATGCTTTTGCAAAGTTTAGCTGTCGGAGAGATTTCATGAGATGACGTGTGTGTTAGTTGGTTTTAGACAGGAGCTGAAATCTAGTAGTTGGACTCTTGCCGGTTCATCACTGATGTGAATAACTGTTAGTCTTCGGTTCTGCTGCTCTTAATTGGCTGCTTCTTGGCTGGCAGGTTTGAGAATGTAGACAGTAGGTCTGATCTCACTTTGGGGATACGTACCTTGAGTTTCAGAAAATATATTAAAAGCCACGGTTGTGTTTTATCTGTTAGGATTTGCCGTTGTCGTTTCTCCTCAGTGTTGGCTGCTGGCTCCTGGCTTGATGTAGGAATATTAGAGCTCATACGCTTGACTGAAATATTAGCAGTGATAAAAATCCTCCCTGCCCCTAGTTGTCACTGATCTATCAAAAATGGAATTTTAATAGGTGTAATTAAGCAAGTATCTTCAGTTTGCTGTTTAATTTAGCTTAGACTTTGGGTTTAATCCTTGAGACCCAGTATTAATACACTTTTGATATTTCTCAGGTGCCATTTTGTGCCTGTGAGAATGATTATGGAAATCAGTTTGAGGTGTAATCAGTGAAGTACAATGTTTTATCGCTTGAAGGAAGCAACATGGAAGATAGGCAGTGATAGGCTCATGCTATTCTATACACACAGCAGTCTGTTAAGCAGTGGTTCTGCAAGCACTATTATTTAGTGCTTGTCTAAATACAACCAATTTTAAAACAGACTATATTTAGCTGCCTAGAAATAAGTAGATTTGAGGTCATCGTATCCTTTCTCCATTTGCGCATGAAAAGGTGATGTAGGAAGATGACAGATTTTCAGTTGTGATCCCGTAGCTGGTCTTGCTGTATTTTTAAAGGCTTCTGAACCTGCATACGTTGGTGAGTCTCTATCTTTGTCTTTATTAACACAGGCAACAAGAGCATCAGGTCATCTTATGCTGGCTGTTAGTGCATTGACCTTCTAATTCAAACAGCCATTATCAGGAGAAGGCACGGAGTCTGCTGTATATAGAAGCAATGTTTATAACTGAGGTTTTCTCTCACTTCTTCAAAGCAAAAGATATGTGTTCAATAAGAAATATTAAAATGGACAGTAATACTAGAGCAGGATTGCACGTTGAAAATTTAACAAGATATGAAAAGTTAGCTTGTGTATTGCTGTTAATTTATTTTCATTGCAGACATGAATAATCTCCTTTGTCTGTTTAAAGCCTGCAAAGACACAGGTAGTGCAGCAGAGGTGTAAAGCTGTCAGGTAGTATGTTACGACCTTTTGTGTTGAAAAGCCTAGTTGTGCAAACTTAAAAATCTAATAGTGACAGTAGCTGGTATTTCATTAGCCTGTCCTCACAGGCAGTTCAAAGAAGGAGGAGGTTTTTAAGTATCACACTTTAGATGACAGCAAAATGCTGGTCTTATGTGGGGTGGGTTGCATCAGTGCGTTTGGCTGTGGGGAATTCTGGGTGTTTTAGCCATGCAGATTGTTACAGTTTGGATTTGCAAGATTTACTGCATATTATTGCAGAGCAGTTTTAAAAGGCGTAATGGTACTTCATGATTAAGAGAATTACCTTAAAGTATCTCTCCTCTCTTTTACTTGAGAAGTATTGTCTGAGAGCAAAAAGCTTCCAAACTCACTTTCGGTGCCGAATGACGTTGGTGTTCTTGTTTGCCCATAACCCTTTTGAAATTAAGGAGCTTGCTGCTTCTGGTTTTCTCCTCTAAGGACCTTTTTGTTTGCCCTCACCAAATTGGTTTTTAATTTTTATTGCTTCCTGAAGGTTTTCTGTACCAGCTCCTGTCTTTTTAGTTTTGTCAGTATTCTTACTTTGTGGTAATCATATATTTCTAGCTGCTGACAAAGACACGTGAGACTGAACACGATCCAGATCAACATCAAGTGAATAGTTGAACTCAGTGGTGATCTGTCTCCGTCTTTCAACTGACTTGTCAATTTTCCTAATTAAATTCAGTACTTGGTGGTATTTGTGTGCTGCTATTCTTTAGTTAAAGACAGTGGATGATTGTATAAAGTAGACTCCTTTATAGACCTTCTTCCTCATTGCTGTTCAGCCCATGGTCTGTTATTCTGTTGCCTTGAGACTTTCAGCAGATTCTGCTCCTGCACATGTTATGTTCGGCTGCAATAATTTGATGTTAACATGGATCAGCAGTTTGCTTGCTGCTTTGTTCCTTTGCAGCTGGAACATGAATTTCTCATGGGGAAGGAGTAGCAATCTGCACTAGCAGGCCTTGTTTCCACACTTCTGTACTCAGACTGGATAGCGTTTACAATTGTGTCTGAGCAAGCAGTAATAGCGATGCTTTTTTTTTTTTTTTAACCTAACATTGAAGGTGGTTTAGCTGTTATTAACAGGAGAGGAAAATACTGATTTCTTTTTGTAAGTGGATAGAGAGCAAAGTCCTGACTTTGGGACTTCTGAGGCCTGTCAAAATACAATTATTTGTCAACAGTCTCTCTTGTGAGTTTCTGAACTTCCCTGCTGGTAGCCTGATTATATGAAAGTACTGACTTTTGCTCCCGTACTGTAGCTGAGTGAAAATGTCTGTCTTGTTTCGGTTCCTATTTTATTTTATCTGTAGATGTGTAATGTTAACAACATTCCAGATGTAAACGTTTGGTTCACTTTCTGTGTCTTGCTTTAGGGGTTAAATTTGTAGTTCAGGTGAAATTCTTTCAAGTTAGTGTATGGCCTAAGAGCCTCAAATTACATTCTGGCAAAATTGTCCACCCAGTCCCAAGCTCTAAAGAGTAATCTCAACGACTGTGTGTTCAGCCTCAGGCTAGACCTCACGCTTACCTGTTCAGAGATGACATCTCGAACAGTTGTGCTCTAGGAACTGACTTTCATTTGGTACCTTGACCTCAGCAGCTTGTTTCAGTGGGGGTTTGTTTGGACTTTAGAAAACACCCAATTTGCTGGCTATCGAAGCACTTGGTTTGAAGAAGCCTTGGTAGAGGAGCCACTAGCTGAACAGTGCTTGGCTGTCTCTGTAGTGTTCCACGGCTTCCTGCTCTCTGGAGGTGACAAGACTTTAGGCAGACATCTGGCTGTGGAGGAATATCACTTACAAGCTAAACTTGGAGCCAGTGTCTCCTGTGAAGATTAGCGGTGTGTGAGGTGACCTGTATTAGCTTTGTTCCTGCGGACATCGCAGCGGTACTCGTCTCTGTTCTAGAAATGCTCTGCTCCTGATTGTGTTGTAGTCCTGTCGACGCTGCTGTTTAGCACTTACATGCAGGCTAAGGTAACTTTGAGACTTCTTCAGATCTTTTCTCACGTTTCCAGCCCTGGATACCTTGAAAGACCAATGTCTTTCGGTGCTGGCTATTGACGTGTACTCTGCTTCAAAGGTGGTCTTAGCATATTAGAACATTGTTGGTGTATCAAGGGTACTGAAGCCAAAATAAGTGGTCTGAGCCTTTCAAAAAATGTTCTGTCATCAAGCTTCAAGGAAGGGTTTATGGCAAAAAAAAAAAAAAATAGGCACTCTTGAAAGTAAGAGGCTTTTCAGAATGGTTCAGATGATCCCCTTGCATATGGGGAGACTCGGGAATACCAAGGGCAAGATTATAAAATTCTTGCGGTTTGAGATCCGTATAATCTGATGGTATCCATCCACCAGATCTTGGCAGTAAGAAATGTAATCTTATTATTCAACTCCTAGCCATTAATGAAGTTGATCATAAGTATTTAGCCACCAGGAATGCTACATGTCGTGTACTTCTTTATTACCCATAAAATCTGATGTAAAGCGTTCCAGTAACATGGATAACACTTTAGAAGACCACAGAGTTTGATGCCCTGAACCTAGGTTCCAGAAGATGGGATTCTCAGAAAATGGGTGTAGTTAGTTGGTGAAATTTAATACCTAAAACGCCAACTGCCGGGCCTTTATGTCCAGTATGGTTTAACTTATGGAGTAAGGTCCCTGAGTTCTCCTCTTTCCTTCCACAGGGCAAGCAGGAGGACTTCAAGACGACAATTCTGGAGGGTATGGAGACGGCCAAGCATCAGGTGAGGGTGGCGTTTGATGCTTGCCACTTAGTAGCAAGAGCCGCCAAGTTAGGGATTGATGCTTGCAAGTGCGCATGGGTGTGGTTGTCCAGAATTTAGCAAGAGATACAGGAGTTGTGTACCCACCTGTTAAACAAGTGAGGGGTATTTTCAGGTTCCAGTTGAGGTCTGTACCAACTGCAGAAAAGGACGCTAACCTATGTTGAAATGCCTCAGGCCGATCTCTCATCCCTCCGCTCCTCTCCATGTTCAGAGGAGTCCAAACATGCAAAAATATGTTTCTTACCTAGCCAGTTTCTACCACCTAGAATGACCCAGAAAGCCCTGGGCTTCAGCACAGTAGATCTTTTTTCTAATTTGCTGAAGAAATGTAGCATGGAGTACCTTTTTGCTCCTTCATTTTTGTTTATTCTTTTGAAAGGTTTGTGTTTGAGCAGTGTGCCAGTGGTTAGCCCAGGAGATTTATCGGTTGGGGAGACTCATAGTCTGCTTCTCAGTGGACTGGATTGTGAATTGCATTCGCCATTGGTGCTAACAGTATGCACTTACTGCTTAATTCACAGAAGTGGTGTCTTGACTCTAACGTATTAGAGTGCTACTGAAAATCTTCCTCCAACTCTGCCGCTTTCGCTCTCACTTGAGGATTGAGGATTAGGGTTTTAAGCAAAGGAGTCGAAGGCTCCAGAACCTATTGTGTACCTCCAAGTTGCTCTTTTTGAAGCAAATATAACTTCAGGATATCCATCTGAGAGTGCATCCTTGCTGATCTAAGTAAAGGAGTCTAGTTATATTTTGGATCTTAACACTTGTGCAGAATTTCTGACTATTATAGATTGTGGGCTTAAGGATGCATCGCCTGTTTCATTTTTAGGCAGACATTGGCTGTTTGGAAATTCTGTGGTTTGCATTTTGTATATATGCTGTGTATGCTTTAGCAATTGTCTGATTCAGAAGCCAAATAACTTTCCTTCAGAGTGTTTTTCGGCTGCAGATGTTTCAGTAAGTCTTTAAATGAGCAGCATCCCTCAAGATTTCTTCTGTGGGGAAGAAGATAATCAAAACTTTAGCACATTAGTTGCTGAAGCGGAATGTCAGGGAGTGGCAAGTGTGTGCGTGAATGTGTGTTAAAAGGAGATGAGAATCCAGTCTAGGCAGAGCCATTCCTGCAGTCATTAGAGAGTGCCTGCCCCAAGGGAAGTGTGTGTAGTTCTGAACTGGTGCTGCCTTGAATGTGTTGCTTTCATGAAACACAAGCAGTAAGGGTGTGGGATGGGGGGATTTAATCAACCCGAAATTGATTTAACTTTGAGCTGTGTAGTTGCAGAGGTAACTTCAAGGACATTTAGTTCTTATAAAATCTTCCGGTGGTTGGGCCAAATAAAATGGTATCTTTGCTAATAATAGCTAGGCTTTTTCTCAATTCTAGTGTCAAACCCGGTTGTGGGTTGGTTGGTTTTTTTTGTTTTGTTTTGGTTGGTTGGTTTGTTTTTTCCCTAAATACCAACACTTATCTGGAGTTATTCTGGCACTTTCATTTTAAAGTTTGGGTATTGCTATAAAAGACACGTAGCCTTAAAAAAACCCACCACCACCAAAAATCTTTCCAAGTTCTGTTAGGAGTGCCAGTTTCTCTGGCTTCTGAATTTGAAGAAATAAATCATAAAGCTTTTCAAGAAACTGGTGAGTTGCCTTAAATCCACTTGTCTGAGTTTCCTGGTAGTTGATCACTGCATGAGAGTCAACGATTTTAGCAAATATCTGGAGATGGCACACTCATTTTAGCGTAAGCCTGTAAGAGGGAGTCAGGTTCAGCATTTCAGATCTTTAACTGGCCATTCTCTGAAAATTTTGCTGCTGAGCTTTCTGCTAACACTTGGTGATCTAGAACCTTAATTAGGATTGGTTAACATTAATAAAGTATCAGAGAATTGGTAACTGTGGTTTGCTTTACGTGCACAGTTTTGCAGAGTTCCTGATTTAACACGTGCATCCGTACGCAGATGTTTGCAGAGTTGGTCCATGTTAGACTGAAGGACAGCAAAAGGGCTGGAGGATGCCTGTTACTGGAGAAGCTGACATCCAACCAGAGCTACGGGTTTCTATTCCATAGCTGAATGTTGGTGTCAAGTAGTGTGTGGATGTGTCAACTTTTCCTGTTGTTAATTTCATTTTACTTCTTGCATTGCTCTGTAGCTTCTGTTACTAATTCTCTCTTGTAAAATTCCTGTAAATGATTATAGACAGTTTTCTTTACCTTGAGTCATCACACAGTTAGATCTTCTAATCTTTGCTTGTGAATGAATTTTTTTTTTTAGCTTCACAACCATTTCCTTGCTTAATTTTTTTTTTCATCGCCTTTGGGATGTAAAAATGCTCAGAAGTTAAAGGTGTGTGTGGTTGCACCAGAAGTGAAAGATGATAATTCTTCTCCCCAGTACAGTGACGTGTACCTCTGCACATGACTTTCAAACAGGTTTCTTGGTTAGCGTAACACACTGCAAGCTTATATTGTCTTTGTTATTTCTTATATTTTGAACAATTTCAGTTTCAGCAAATTATCTTAATCTTACTGTGCTACTTACGGGGTTTTTTCCCCCTTGGGATGTATTAGCTTATATCTTTCCAGATGGAATATCCTCTCCTCTGTCCTGATCTTAAGTCACTTCCTAGGACATATGAGATTTATATTGTTCTTACTGCGTTTCACATCTCAGTATTTCATTTGCTTGCTGTGCCTGCAAGATTCGCTTTCTGCACTCTACTTGTGCTGTAGCACTTTATGCAGCTGTGTCTTGATTTGTTACTTCTTATGTAGTGTTAACATTCAGAGGAGATTGAGGTGTAGCATACATATCTGACTTACTACTTCATTGCCAGTGTTTGAATTGATAGAAGTGCAGGTGCCTTTATGAATGAAGTCTTTCTCTAGAGAAAATGTCTCCTGTGTATGTTCAACATTAGTCTTTTAAATGTGGAGCATTTAAAAGGACAAGTCAGAAATCTGTAGTTGTTAATTGTAGGCAGCAGTGGGGGAGGTGACACAGGAAAAGCGTAGGTGGGATTGTATTTCGTTGCACTGCCTCTTGTGAATATATAAAATATGCAAAAGGAGAGGTTAAGATGGGTTCCTCTAGCTTGAGGGGTTTGGTGCAAATGAAACCTTGAAAAGCAGGTGAGAGGGGACTGTAGGTATTGTGCTTGTATCTTTTAGATCTTTTGGCTTTGAACAGGTTCCAAAATGTTTTTCATATTCTGGTAGAAACTGGAAACCACACAAATGAAAGCATCTAAAGAAGCAGTTGTGTTTTACAGAATTATGTTCTATATATGTTATATATAATATTGATATGCGCCACTGCCCCCCTTTTTTCCAATTTTTTTCTTTTCTCCTGTTCCTCCCCCCCCCGCCAATACAGCCTTTTCATTAACCCTAGATGATACCTGTAATTAAAAGAACTGTTGCCTTGGGAACCTGCATGTCTTGCAGAAGTAAATAAAAGGACTAAATGAAAGCATGCCGTGGAATTGCCTACTGTATCGCTTCATGGCTAGATGCGCTGGCTAGGAAGGGTAGTGTGAAAATACTTATTTAGCAGTTCCTTTTGCAGTGCCTGTATACAACTTGTCTTTTTGTTGTAGGTGTGGAGGGTGCAGCTTTCCAGAGCAGACTTCCACATGACCGTATGACATCTCAAGAAGCTGCCTGCTTCCCTGATATAATCAGTGGGCCACAGCAGACTCAGAAGGTGTTTCTGTACATCAGGAACCGCACCGTAAGTTTATCGTAAAAGTATTGATGAAAAAAGGGTAGGACATTTGTGTACCTTGCAAAGACTTTTTGGCAGTTACCGTGTCTTAACAGTTGGTAGATTTTTTTTTTTTTTAATTTTTATTTTTTGTTTTTTGTTTTTGAGACACTGGCATTTCATTCCTGGCATCCTGTCGTGCTCAAAGTAAGGAGGGTGTTACCCAATTCTTGATTGAGGCAATGCTGTGAGGTAGCATAAAGAATCTGTAGTGTATTCACCATATCCAAAATAGTCATAACAACCATCAAAACTACATGATCTAGCTAATACAGCTTTTAGAAAGTAAACAAACAAAGTTTGTGCAAGTGTTCTATTACGTGATCTCAGCTTAAAGAAATCTCTGTAGAATACTGAAAAATAATATTCAATCGAATACATTGTTGCTTTTGATTTTTTTACTTTGCTTAGCAGTCAGTTGCTGTAATACTGAGACATCAAGCTGGTCGTGTGGCTTATTCTCAGAATAGTTACTTTGCCAGCCTTGATTTCATGAAAGAAACTATAACGTTGGAGAAATGAAACTCTGCTTCTGAATGTTTGTAGAATTTCTGTCCAATTCAAAATTTCCATGCAACTTGGCATATAGAAGGAAGGGGCAATATTCACGTAATTAGTTGGGGAGTTCATTCACTTGAGTTCAGGCATGCGTGCCTGAAGTTTAAACATTAATAAAACTTACAGTAGTATTGTGTTTTGTGGATGATGCTTTTAAATTGTGACAATGCCTTTTGGTTCCTCAGCACACAAACAGGGTTCAGGGGTTTCTCCGGTACTTGGAAAAGAGCATTTTGGAAAACTTGAGTCGTGTTAGAAAAATTAACAGTAGGAAAGCAAGAAATATTTTGAAAATTGTGTTATTACCGTGGTTAGGAGAGAAAACACCTTATGCACCATTCATTTTTTTTCAGAGTTAAGATGATCAAGTGGCATCACAGTATATGTACGTGGTAGTACCCAATGTGTAACTTAAAGAAGTTACTTGAAACTTATGCATGGTGGACATCTTCATGCTAAGAGCGTCACTTTTGCTGTTCCTGTGAAACCTCTCTGATTAACCCGAGTTGTAACTTTTGGGAAGTCATGAGATGTGTAAAAACAGACCAATGCAAACCAAAAAGTTTGAAAAACAGTTTGCTCAGAATGTACAGTGCGTAATCCTTTTACAAACACAGAAGCAGAAAAGCTTTCCACTGAAACTGAGAAGTGGCTGGGACCTAAAGCAGTGCTTGCAAGGGGTGTTTGCAGGGATGCACTAGAAAAGCTGCGTTGCTGGTCTTGGTCCTTATTCGCTATGGAGGGACTTAGAGAGGTTCTTAAGGAGGCATCCCTTTCCGAGAAAGACTCGTGAGAGGATCTCCTCCAGGCAGGGTGCAGAGGTTATAGAACAGCAGATGAAGCAAATGGCAGTGCAAACCCAGTGCTCAGCAGAGCCCTGGAAGAGCTATGAACTGCAGTGCGCATCCTCTTACTTACAGCTGGCACAGTACCAACGGATTTGAAAATATTGAAGAGGACATGAGCAACCAGAGTTCCCAGAGGTTAGAGGAGTTAAGAGTAGTAAGTCTGATATTTCTGATTTGCCTGGTAACAAATGGAATCAAGAATTGAATGAAAAACCTGATAAGCAAAAACGTATTTTGGAAGGCTTTTGGAAGTCATCCTTTACAGTCCCTCTGAGTTCTTAGAAGGACTCATGAGAAAGCGAACAAAGGAGATGCACTTCACGTGATCTTCTGCATGAATCCCCCACAACCAACCAATGAAAAAAACCCAACCCAAACAGTAAAAGCTCTTGCTAAATTACTGTTGGTTAAAGCAGATTGTGTACATTTAAAAAGCAGAATGTAAGATAAATGATCTGTTGTGGCAGCGCAGGCAGTTGTGGTTTGAAGCCTTTAAAAAAAAAATCTTCTAAGGCCTGCACTGTTCTGTGTATTTGTAGAGGATCCAAAAATAGGAATTTGTAAAGAAGTGGTCATTTGTTGGACGTACTGAGTTATTTTAGGTAGTAAAACGAGGACTACAAAAACTATAAAAGATGAAGACTCTTACGAGTAACTGCATGATAATGTAGCAGATGAAATTAGTTTTAAATAAAAGTAAACTAATGTGAGTAATAGAACTAATTGTATATATACATACATGTGATTTATATATAAAAGTATATAGATTATGGGCTTTGCCCTCTTCCAGCTGAGAATGGACTCTTAGCATTACGTGATTAGTGCTCACACTCAGAAATGATCAGAAACAACAATGTTAAAAGTTACTTGGAAAAGACGTAGAAGAAAGTACTATGCTAAAGACGAAATTTGCCTCAAATGGCATGTGAAATTATATGGAAATTCTTTCTTAATATTTTCCTATTCATTATACTTGTATGATTTCCACTTCAATTTGGTATCTGTGAGGAGCTGTGAAGTTCAGTAGTGCAATTGTAGAGAAATCCCCAAATAAATGACTAGTTCTGGAATGTAAAATCGTGAGGAGATACTATGTGTGGCCTAGATGTAGGCATAGAACAGTAACATGCTATTTATTGACTATTGCAATCCATGCCGTGAAGTAAGAATTCTGTTGGGAAAACAGTTGTGATTCTATTATTCTGTGCTTTTTCCTGGCATGAAATGACATAATTAATATTTCACAGGCAGCTATTCCTACTTGTTTTTTGAGCTGTAACTGTCCTCTAAGTGTTCTTTATGGTGTATCTGGTTCTTCCAGTGTATGTTTTCTTGTATGTGTGATGAGGAGGTTGCTCACTTGATGCATTTCCACTTAACTCGAAATAGTGTAGGAAGTTAAAATGGACTGTATTGCACCTTAAAGAACACTGGAAGGCGTAGTTCAGTGCAGCTTGGATAGCACTGCCAAAGTTTAACTTGTCAGAGCGTTTCATCTCCTGACAATATTTGGTAACAAACAGGTGTGTGGAAAACACCTCTTTTGTATTGCCTAATGTAATGTGTCTTATTGTTTGTTTAAATACAGCTGCAGCTCTGGTTGGATAACCCAAAGATTCAGTTGACGTTTGAGGCAACTATCCAACAATTAGAAGCACCTTACAATAGTAAGTCAAATCTTTTACTGCTGAAACCATACCGCACATACTTTTGCTATTCTTTTTTCACTTTTGTTTGGGGAAAGGCTGCACAGAACCTAGAGAGTACTTCAGATGTGTCCTTTGGTTAGTGGAGCTCCGTGAGCATTTGTGTACAGAATGGATATTGCAGTACGCTTGTGTTTCAGGTTTGTTAGAGTTCATTTGTGTGGTAAAGAAGTATATCCCTAGAAGAATTAAAAAAAGCTGGGTTGTTACCAAAGCTTCCTGTTAGTGAATTCACATGTAGCTTTTAAGGTTTGATACAACTTCATGGTGGTTTGCAGCTGTAAGATTTTCTTAATCGTAAGGCTTCTGGGAGGCATTAAAAAGTTGCGTAAGACTTGAACAGACTGGCTGTGATGAAAGAAGGCAGTAAAAGAGTGAGGACTTCCTGTAGGCCATTCCACCCTTCTCAAAAAAGATCCCAATAAACTGCAAAAAGGTGGAGGGGAGCCATAAAGAAAAAGTAATTAAAGAAGAAAATAGTGCAGAAATGAATGCAGATACACTATCAAGTATTGCAAAATAGTGAATTACTGTGTTTATAAAAATGAGAATTCAGTGCTCCAGTAATGGGTTGACTTAACTGGCAAATCATGTTACAGTTCTGTGTAAAGATCTCTGGATTTCTGCAGTCTATTTCAGAGAAGGCGTTCTTCCGCGCTAGATAAATAGAAGCATTTAATGTCCTGTACAGCTTTTCAGGCAGTATTCAAAACTGCAGTATGGCATGGAAAACAGCTTGAGGTTTCCAGAAAACCTTAACCTTCACCTTCTTCAAGAAGATGGATTCTTCAGTAGGGCAGCTGGGGGTGCAGAAAGAGGTGTGTTCAGTGTGACTTTGCCGCATTGCTGCTGTGATACGTTTGCTTGTGAATAATATGCTTTCAGTCCATACGTACTGCCGAACATACAGAATAATTTTAAAACATTACAATTTTTTAGGTGACACAGTGCTGGTTCATAGAGTACACAGCTATCTGGAGCGGCACGGTCTAATCAACTTTGGTATCTACAAAAGAGTGAAGCCCCTTCCAAGTAAGAAACTTGAAAATTTTTTCTAGTTGGAGTTTTGTTTTAGTGTTCTGTAATTTCTTAGGACAAATTTTTTTATTTACTCAGCACCTCAACCCTAAAAAAGCTCTCAAAAAAGGCGGGAAAGCCATCTGGCTGTAGATATTCGTGGTTTTGATTTTGGCATGGAGAAGCCAGGTATTTAAGTAAATCGGTGTCGTGGCTTGAGCCTACCCAGCTGGCTCCAAAAGCCCCCCCGCAGCTGCTCTCGCTCACCCCTACCCTGTTCCCTGAGGGGTGGGGAGGAGAAAATAAGAAAATACAACCCAAAGGCCTGAGGGTCGAGACCCAGCACAGGGAGGGCTCACTCACCAGCTGTGGGCACGGGCAAGAGACCGACTCAACTTGGGGATAACAACCGCAATTTAATACAGAACAACCACCACTGTTGAGGAGAATGAGAGATACAACCGTATCTTAGATACAACACGCTCACGCTGCGCCCCCTCTGATCTTCCCGCGCTCAGCTCTGCTCCCTCTTCCGCTCCAGCAGCGCAGGGGGGCAGGGAATGGGGGTTGCAGTCAGTCCGGCACAAGATGTCTCCATCGCTCCTCCGTCCTCAGGGAGAGCGGTCCTGCAGATCCTCCTCCAACTGCACCAACGCAAGTCCTTCCCACGGGGCCCCACACAACGGGTGGCTCCGGCGCGGCCGGAGCTCCTCCGGCCCGGGGCCCTCCACGGGCTG